TGAAAAAACATTCCACACAAAAAAAACTCTTCGTATTTATAAATTATCATTCCAATGTTCGTCCAATTTTAAAATTTCAAGTTTTATTTGATAAGATTCCGTCTAAATATGAGTTTTCCCTTCCAACTACATCTATTTGTCAAGATGGAATAAAAGTCTGGACGATTTCATGAAATGTTTTAATTAAACTTTCATTCTACTACAACAAATATCTTCTAATTTAAATTGGATCAACCTATCTATAACTGAAAATCCTTACTTAGAATGACAGTCTAATTAAAATATTTCATGAACTCATCCAGACTTTCATTCCATCTCTAGCATGCAGTTCAAATAAGAAGGGATACCCTATTCTTGGAAGGAAAATTTTCAAGTAAGACATAAAAATTTTAAATTGGAATGACATTTTTTAAGATGGAATGAAAATTTAAAATTTAGAACGTAATTTTACTATAGAATGATTATTTAATTCTGGGAATTTTTTTTGTTGTAGGCTTAATTTGTAGTTGTTGGGTGTCCAGGAGCAAGTTATGTGTGAGTCATTGCAGCCCTGCTTCTTTATTGTCTTCAAATCTTACGTATATGTCTTTATAGGTCATCTTCAGGTTTTTCGATGATACGCTGATGGTAGTCATTGCTCCTACCTCGTATTGGTTTGTGATAAAGTCTTTGACCTCATGGATTCGTAGTGTCCCCTCCCTTTTCATGTGTCAACCATGCAACGTCATCCCTCCGTAGGACGGAGCGTATGAGTCCTCTGAGTTAGCCGGTGACGGACCCAGTTCACATTTTCCTGTCTTCCTTCTGATGGGAAGTACCAGCACTTTGTCCCCTTTCGGTAGGCTTGTGGTACAATCCCTTCTCGATGAGATGACGTATTTTTAATCGTTTGGAGAGTCCTGTTTCTTCTGCATTCTGTGCCCCCTCATCCTTCCCTTGTTCGGTTATTTCTATGTGCGATGCCGGTTGAGTATTGTCAAGAGGGAAGGGTTTGTTTGTGCGACCTGAACCGACAGTGCCTTCGGGCAGGTCAGGTATCCTGTCTACCTGATCTGATACTTCGGGCTGGTCGGGTGCCTTTGCCGTTTCGGGTGGCTGGAACTTTTGGTGTACAATGTTCCAGACTCTATACAACGCTGATTGCCAATCTAGATTCGGGGATAGGCCTTGCCCTACTGAAGATGGCTAATTAGCCATTCTGCCAAACCCTTTAGCTTAGTCTCGACATCCTCCTCCCCTTGTGACCCCCAGGCGTCAGGTGTGCTGTCCATCATCTCCTCATCCGAGGAGACCCCCGGTGATTCCCAATCCATGGGCTGAGGTCCGAATGCCTGAAGGAAAGGGTGTTTCCCCTATGGCAGGCGTGGTTCCGGAAGGGCTCATTTTTGGGTGTTGTTCTTGCGAACTCTGAATCACTCGGGGAGGGTCTGCCGATGCTGCCTCCTCCGAGGCCCGGTGTACAATCCCTTGTTGGTTGTCTTCCCTTTCCTTTCCTTTTTCCTTCCTTTATTCCGCCCCCCGATCTTTTTTCCCTTTATCCTTTGCCTGTTCTTGAGTCTTATCCCTTCCCCCCCAGATGGCTCGTTTTGCCTCAATTCCCTGGTCTCCTGCTCAGTTGACTGTTCGTACCCGTTATCTAATGCGTCCGCAATAACCTGAAATTTGTTCTCTGTTTTTTTGGGGCTGCCTCTTTTGCTTTGGTTCTGTAATTTATCGTTCTTGCGAGGATGCACTTTTTTCTTTGGGACCGAGGAATGTTATAGTTCTTCCAGATCCTCGGGGTAATGAAGTCCTGAGGACTGGGTCCAATACAAAGCTCAGTCTCTCCTGCTTCGGAGTTGGTCTGTTGTGTATGGGCTGGTTTCTCGGGGTCCTTGGAGGGAGGTTTAACGGCCTTGTCCATATGTGCCTCCACCGGTTTGGTGGGAATCCATTGATATGGGGGTTTGGTATTTCATTCCACAGCCATTCCCATCCCCTCACTCCACCTCCCTCTCGTGGCTCATCCACGTATACCCATCCTTCGTGTCCAACATCGACCGCCCTCCACCGGTTGTCTTTGAGAGGGTCACGTATCAGGCGCCCTGTGGTTCTAATCCTTTTGGCCGGGTGGTGGGGGTAGTCAGATTCTGTCGGGAGGTGGTCGTATGCTTGGTATTTGAAACACTAGGGTCTCGTTTTATGTGCCGTGTGGATTCTGAAATCTCGAACTCCTACTCAGAAGAGGATCACGTCGTCGATGGTGAAGATGTGGCCTTTCGGAAGACCGAGGGCTACAATGAGGTAGTCATCTCTTGGGGTCACGTGGGGTGGGAAAGGATCGATGAAGTCAACAATTTCGTATTTTTGGGCTAATTCTTGCACAAAGCCCCCTTGAATTTCAATGGGCATATGAATTCCACCCAAGAATGATCAGACATTAATCGGTCCCTCTTTTCCTCTGTTTTTTGTTGTTTTGGGGGAGACCAGGGAAAAATCCGGACCTCCGACCGCCCGCATGGTATGCTCCGCCATGTGTCCATGATTCTTTTGTCTGAATCAAACATGCAAATTACTGTGACTACCGTTGACGAGATAGGTTGGATCAGGAAGAAGTCTCGCGCACCCTCCTCGGATCCTTTGAGGGTTGCGAGTCGTTTCCTGATCCACCCTACCTTATCGTTGGTAGATTTGTAAGCCGCAACGTCATAGAAAACCCATGTACTCGCATGGCGAGTGTATATTGCATCCCTTCCTTTGATCACATCCCCTGGAAGTGCTTTTACCCTTTGCTTTTTCCACCCTTGGCTGATTATCTTATCTTCTGGCTTAGCTAAGAATTTTGCTAAGAAGAAAGTTGACGCTGTGGTCAGATTGTCCAGTGGGATTTCTGTTTCCTTCCCCCTCTCCATTTCTTCCAACTGATAAGGTCTGGCCTGAGTACATCTTTTTAAGCTTATCTGCCCATGTAGTCCCCCGGGATTGACTGTTATTAACTTCTTTCCTTTCCTGCAGGTCTTTCATTTCCTTCAACAGCTCTGTCGGGGAGGGGGGAGATTGTGAGGGGGATTGTGCACCTTCTTTGTGGGTTGTGGAAGGGGGATGGGAGGATGATGCTTCTGCCATGGTTACATCCTCCTTCCTCCCTTCCTCGCGCCGAGGCCGCCAGTCCGACGAGTGTTGCCCCATGGCGCCTTGATGCCAAATCGTCCGTGGCAACCCTTTTCCTTTCCTTGCCTCATTTTTTAAGCTCGCCATGCTTTATTTTAAGGGGTGCGACGAACCTGTGCTCAGTGACCAGTGCTCTTGTGTGGATTGAGGATGACTGTAGGTTGAAGACAGTTGGTCTTAAAGCATTCTCGACTGGCTCCTAATTCCTGAAAATCGACTATCCCGTATTCTTCTAAGGGGGGGACAGGGGGCGAGAGAGGGGTGGCGGGCCGAAACAAGATTGGGAACCGGGGAGGGAGATGGGGTCGGGATGGGTCAAGACAGGGCAGTTGGCACGGAAAAAGATTGGGATGGACGGGATCGGGACAGGGGGGATCGGGGCGGGGTTGGGATAAGACGCTAACGGGGCGGGGGTCGGGACGGGTCAGTGAGAACCAAACAGAGTAGGGATGAGGGACTGGACGAAGATGGGACGCAATTCGGGGCGGGTCGGAATAGGGTCAGGTCGGAATGAGAGACGATCAGAATGAACGGGATCGGAGTGGGGACAGGATAGGGCGAGGTCAGCACGGGAAAAGATCGGGATGGACGAGATTGGGGGCAGGGGCGGGGTGAGAACAGGTCGGGATAGGAGCAGGGGCGGGGTGAGAATAGGTCGGGATAGGACGAAGACGGGACGGGGGTCGGGACGGGATGGGATAGGGCGAGATTGGAACGGAAGAAGACCGGGATGGACGGAATCGGGGCAGGAACGAGGGTGGGATAAGGACCAACAAGGTGGGGTGATAACAGAACAGGGTCGAGGACCAACAAGGTGGGGCGAGAACAGAACGGGGTCTGGATGGGACGAAAACGGGACGCGGGGTGGGGTGAGAACAGAACGGGGTCGGGATAGGGCGAAGACAGGACGGGGGTCGGGACGGGACAGGATAGGGCGAGGTCGGAACGGAAGAAGACCGGGATGGATGGGATCGGGGCGGGAACGAGGGTGAGATAATGACCAATCCCGGACGGGATCTGCGGGAACGAGGGTGGGAAGAGGACCAACAAGGTGGGGTGAGAACGGAACAGGGTCGAGGACCAACAAGGTGGGGCGAGAACAGAACGGGGTCTGGATGGGACGAAAACGGGACGAGGGGTGGGGTGTGAACAGAACAGGGTCGGGATAGGACGAAGATGGGACGGGGGTCGGGACGGGACAGGATAGGGCGAGGTCGGAACGGAAGAAGACCGGGATGGATGGGATCGGGGCGGGAACGAGGGTGAGATGATGACCAACAAGGTGGGGTGAGAGCCGGGACGAGGATCAAGGCGGGTCGGGATAGGGCGACGAGAACAGAACGGGGTCGGGAAGGGACAAAGACGGGACGAGGATTAGGGTAGGTCGGGATAGGATGAGGTCGGGATGGGAGAAGATCGGGATGGGGGGGACCGGGGCGGCAATGGGTTGGGGTGAGAAACCGAACGGAGGCAGGATTGGACGAAGATGGGACAGGGGTCAGCCACCGGGTTTCGGGAGGGGTCGCTGGGGTGGGATGGATTGAAGGGGGGGGGCGGGCTCGAGTGGGTCAGGATAGGATCGGAAATCGAGGAAGGAGATGGGATCTAGAAGGAAAATTAGAGCAAGGTCGGAGCGGGATGGGTCGGGGCGTGGATGGGTGGGAAGGGAGAGTTCTACTCCCCAGTCTGACATATCACACATTTGTGTCATTTCCACTAGTCGTTCACATGGTAGAGTCATTCGATTACACGTTACAAGGTCACGGGTTCGAGCTTGGTTCAGACCTTGGGGGGGGTCCTTGTCTAGCTTACCCGGTTCTCTCTTCGATATACACACATGATGCTGCCTATACATCTCGATACATTGATTCACAGAGCACACACAACCTTTGGGCATATACATAGCTTGCAAATTATACATGGCCTACGGGCTACATACACAAGTTTCCACACATGGTGCTGTCTGTACATCTTGATACATAGATACACGAAGCATACATAGCCTTCGGGTACACACATAGATTGCAAACTACACAACTATCTGACTGGGGGGGTCTAGTCACTGGTGGGGTCTAGTATCTGCAGTAGGGACAGGTAAGGGCCATCGGAGTTCCTACTGATATTCGGATAGAACTGTCTCCCCTCATCCCCCTCCCCACCTGGCCAGTCCTCCTAAGACTGGGAAAGAGGCTATCAATGGTGCAGCTCAGAGTCAGGTAAATTCCTAGTAAGTAGTTATAGATGATTTGATTTTCCACACTAGGGATGTCAGCAACTTGCTCAGTAAATCATCCCTTCAAAATGTTCCACTTCTTGCTCAGTCATTTGGCTGGTCTACAAAGTACTCATTATAGGGGGAGGGAGGAACTAGGGTGTTGCAGCAGGGATCTGGCGCCGAGTTCAGGGCGAAGAGGTCCCCCCCCCCCCCCTTCTCCAATTGCCTGCTCAGTCAATCCCCCGGTTCCCGGGGCAATCAATGCTGGCAGGAATCTCACACAACACTGTTTTGTTACATTCCAAATTCAGCCTGTATAATGGGACGCTGGACCCGTTTTCCAGCAGGTGCTGCTCCCCACCAATAGATGGAGCCACTCCCCATGTGCTAGTGGGGTCTGCTCTTATCAGCACCACTAACACTGGCAGGGTTTGAGTTAAAAAAGATAAAAGAAAAAAAAAAAGAACTATCTAGTGGCTATATATAAGGCTTAGACCCTAGGGTAAGGGTAGGGGTATAAGTCCCTCAGGCCAGTCCGAGTTCCGCCTGGCCTTGGGTAAGCTAGGGGAAGGACGGTAGGACTGCTTCAATGGGTGCTACCCTGTCTAAACCTAGGGCCCAGAGTCTCTTGGGGCCTGTAGTAGAGTGTCTGGGCCTGGTGTCCGAAGTTCCCGTTCGACAAGGCTCGTCCGATTCCGCTTCGACCAGGGATGGGCAACCTATCAGCCCTGGTGCCCATCACTGCTGTTCGGTCCCAGTTACCTGCCCATTGGTAGGGTAATGGTCCTGAGTGCTGGTCACACTGAGGTAGGATAGTGAGATAGGGGGTGCGCTAGGAGTATTGACGTGAGGATGGGATGGGAGGTGGTCTCATATTCCAGGACACCCACGGCCTACTGCTCCAGGTGATCGCTGTGCACTCAGTGACTGGCCTCTACAACACCATGGACTGAGAAAAAAAAAAGAAAAAAAGAGAGAGAAAATCTATAGAGAGAAATGGAGAGAAGAATATAGATGAGTTAAAAAAAAAAAAAAAACAGCAAATCAACATGGAATGCTTTTTTTCACAGAATTCTCTTTTCAAAATGGAAGAAGACCACGACCAAGAAGAGCAAGGCAAAAGGAAAGGGGCAAAAAGACTCTGCTCGCAGAAGCAAAGAAGGCAGCAGATCCAGTAGTACCCTCCTTTTCTCTTCCTCTCTCTCTCTCTCTTCTTCTCTCTCTTCCTCTCTCTCTTCCTGTCTCCTTCTCTCCCTCTCCCCCTCTCTCCCTCTCTCCATCTCTCCCTCTCTCCCTCTGTCCTCCTACCCCTCTTCCCTCTGGCAGGGCCCTCCGCTTTCTATAAAGAACACAATAACTACAGACAGCACAACGAATAGTACGCCTCTTAACCTCTATGCCGTCAGAATCTTCAATGCCTCATCAACATGCTTCTCTGGCTGAAACTGGTTATTGAAAACCATCTGCACTATCCCCTTCTTGTCAATCACATAAGTTTGCCTTCCGGGAAGGATTCCAAACAGATCGCCAGGGACTCCCCACTCCTTGCGCGCCTGGAAAGACAGAAAGAAAGAAAGAACAACGAAAGGGGGACAGGCCGGCAAAAAGAAACAAGAGCTGTTAAGAAGAGACATCAAGTTGAAGTCCCATATGCACTTGCTCTGATTTGTCGCTGTCCGGGTTGATGACCCCTTCTCATCTGGGTAGGGGGTCGGTCTTGTTGGAAGGATGGAGACAAGATTGTTGTGGGCTCTGTGCAAGGTTCACATGCAAAATTTGAGTAATCATCTGAATGGTCCAAACAAAAGGAGGAGACGAAAAAACAAAAAAAAAGAGGAGACAAAACAAAGTGAATAGGAGATTAAATATACGGACATACTCAAAGTAGGCCTTTACTCAATGCATCACACTGCAATTACAGCTTCATCTGTATGTACCTGACCACAATTACGTCCAGAGCTCATTCGAAAAGGTCCTTGTGTGAGTATGCTCGATTTCTATGAGAGCAATGTGAATGTGCTGAAGAGGGCAGGCTGGTCTCTTCCATAAGTAAAAAATTGAAGGCGTTCCTGAATTTTCTTGGGAGAGGCAAGTTCATTGCACTTAGGGTCTGTTTTTATGACAAACACTGTCATGCCTTATCATGCATGGTTAAACCACCAGTTTCCAAGCCTCTTTTTTCCGACGCTCAAACCGCCCTCACGCCACAAAAAATTGAACTGGTGTGGGCCTCCTTTTGGCTGGTGCTGCTGTCCATTTTGCCTCGCTAGGCCGACCTCAGCGACCTACGAAACTTGTGGTGCGTTAACAGCTGCGTCAGGGAAAAATGGCTTGATGAAGTTCTTGTGCTTAAATCCTACTGCCACTCCTCTTAGGGAGAGGGAGTGAGCAATAAATGGCATCCAGCAGTTATGAGCAGTCGATGGCTGTGAAACTTCGTCATTTGCGATCAGTAAACAAAGGGAAAGGGGGGTGGTATTGGTATTGGTATTGGTATTGATATTGATATTGATATGGAATATTATGGATACGGATATTGGCTATTGGATATATATGGATTTTTTTTAAAGCTCTGTGAGCATACACCACAGTACCTTTGAGCCTCTTTTTGCCGAAGCGGAATTTCCCCCGCGCGCCAAGCTTTGCTGAAATGCCAGCGCAGCGCTTTTGGTTTTCTTTTGGCTGGAGCCACTAGCCATTTTGGCACCATAGTCCAGAGCCTCCAAAATATATATATATATTTTTTGGGTTGGGACAATTTACATTCCCAAGTTTTCCTGGGCGATGTATTGGTGCTTTAGGGTTTAGGGGCACTGGATCATTCTCAGAATAGTACTTTGTCTGTAATACTGGATAAGGGTTGCAAAGCGCAGAGAGAGGTTTTCTTTTCTTTTCTTTTCTTTTTTTTTTTTTTTT